ACCTGTTGGCCGGATCTGGTCATAGATATCGCCACTGATTAGTTGACTGGCTTTCATTCTCTTCAAGACGTCTGTGAGCTGCTTCTCAATCGGTTCCGTATACTGCTCATTTTCATAGTGCATATAAGTACAGGCGATTTAGAAAACTCCATGACTTCTAAACTGAACTAGTCTAGATATCACTATTGAATATCAGAAGATCCATATTCTAGGTATATATTAACGGACAGATTCTTAATTAGTAAACAACCCGAAATTCGCTCTAAGTTCATTTAGATTCTGATGTAACTTGGTGTTTTCTCTAATTGGTTTCACGATTTGTGCGAAAACAGTACCAAGATAGACTAAACGTACTTTATCTGTCTTCATGTTATTGTTATTTCGTTGTAAAAATGAAGTATATTGCTCTGTATCAGACGGCAAATATCATCAGCATTTGGCGATTTCGAATTTAGAGAGTTTGGTCTCAAGTAAGGGATACGAAAAATGTATTAAATAGAGTTTAACTGAGCAATGAGATGAATAAGAATTTGGAGAAAATAAGACGAAAGAATTTGAGTTGTACTCCACTGCTGCTATTTTAATACATGTTAACATTCAAATGTCCAGTGTGACAAAATTTAAATATAGTCAGGAAAATGTGTGGTGCGTTCTACTACTTACAAGATTTCGTAAGTAGTATATTGTATCTGATTCCAAACAACTAATCTAAGCGCTCTTTAAAAGTGACTACCTTTTCAACTTGGTTTAACTCATTATTCCAACTATCAGGATGCGTAGTATCCCTTATGGTGACCAATAAATCACAGAATTTTTGAGAAACGTGTTTGTAATCAGGAAGCTACTCCACCTCAAAAGGACAGAGATATTGTTTACCCAAGATTAAGTCCATAATGCTGAAATGTAATAATTTACGACTTCATTGAATATTTGGTATATTAATTTAGACTACTTATAAGTAGTTCAGATAAAGTCCATGCTTTTATTTACTGTTGTTCTACATTCGTAATTAGCAGTGTTTACACGATATCTGAAAAACCACTTCGTGAAGCTCAGTAACATACTATCACATCAGTTGGATAGATAGTTTAGTGATTATTTATACCCCAGACTTGGTACAGTATGAGCACCAAGCGACGCACTACACTCAGTAATGAAATAATTATAATATATTGATAAGAGAAATAATACCGATGAGAAAAAGCAGAATGAAAACAAGTTAGCATGCTTATCAAGAACATTTGGATAACACAGACCGAAAGAAAAGCAACCTATAATGTGCTCAAGTTAGGCTTGGTGTCTGGCTGCAGTGACAGCTACAGCTAGTTTACTTGCATCAACTCGTTTATGAAAACCTATGTAATCTTCACCAGAAAAACAGAGGATTTCTGGGGCACATTAAAGCGTATTTCTAATCCAAACAATTGATTTATAAAAGGTTCTAGTCTTGTATCAGTGTGATCCAATTGAGTCCAAACCTGAGTATTAGAGGGTGGATTCGAACTAGGATTGTGGTAATAGCTGCGCCGGGAGTTGATGCTATCTAGAAGTACGTCATGAACTCCATAAAGCTGTAGATTATGCTACCTGTTGTTTGACCTGTGCCCAAATAAACAACCGGCCTATGTATTTGGACACCCAACTTGTGCATTCAAGCCACGAAGAAGCACTATGATATTTGTCGAGTATATATGTTTGAGGAGGTCATCTATCAGATGGCAGAAATCACTTTTAATTATGTCCTGTCTGAAATTATTCGGCTCAAAGGGGGAAATAACGTAAGTTTTGCAAATCCGTAACCCATATAAAAATCTTGAGTATCTAGGCTTCGCCAGTGATATATGTCTGGTTTCCAACAAATTGGAAGGTGTGCACATGAAAAGCAACAACTTGGCAGAAGAAGCATCCAGAGAAGATAGGAATTCAGGTGAACATAGAGGAAACAGAAGTGAAGATTCCTGGTCAACAGCAACGGACAACAATCAGCCAGCATAAATGGGAGAAATCTGGAAGAAGCAACCTCATCTACCCATCTATCTACCTGAGAAGCATCGTTTCAACTAGAGGTGGAAGGAACTGATTAGGATATCAAAACAGTGAGGAACGGTAAAGCAAGGCAAGCTTTCATTTCTCTCAAATCTGTGTGGAGATCAATAGCACTCAGCATGGTAAATAAGATCGCGATTTTGGACTCTAATGTGAAGTCAGTGCTATTTACTATACGGATCAGAGGCTTGGCGCCACGCCGCATCACAAAGGGCGATTCGGACAAACTACACACCATCAACAGCCGTCTTCGCTCAGTACTACTCAAGATTAGATGGCTGGCTAGAAAACATCAGCAACAGGGAGGGATCTCTGGGAGCGAACGAACCAACCAGGAACCAGTTATGGTCGGATTGGAAGCCATACTCTGAGAAAACAAACCATCAAGTGAGTGACATCACACGCCAGGCCAGGCCATAGCTCGAGTGGAACGCGAATGGGAAGTGGCGAGTTGGTCGTCCGAGGGTGTCATAGAGGAGGTCATGTGAAGAGGAGATATAATCATGTGGGCAGACGTGGAGCCAGGTGCATATGTTCGCAGAGAACTGAACGCAATGAAGACGTGCGGCTGAAGCCCTATGTTCCTCTAGAAACCAAAGGAAGCAATAATAATAATAATAAATAATGACTAGATACTTCTTACCCCAATATAAGCTTATAAACTAACATCACATAAATAGCTATTGGTGGATGTCCATTCAAGTAACTCAGCTCAGGCTAGTTTGCAGTGATTATTGCAACATCGATAGCAGCTAAGCTGAATGCCTGTACTAAACTGGCCTCATTCTATCAAAAATGGATATGAAAGGCATTCGAAATGCTTCACTAGGACCTTGTTTGTGTGCTTCTAAGACGTACTATCCATCAATAACGAGGCTTTAATCTCAAAACTTGCCTACTGTCCAATCAGCATGAATATGAGAAAATTGTAAGTGGCTCACCTGGACGGATAAATGATATCATACATGATAGTGGTGATTAGATATCTGAAAGTAACTATTTACAAACTCAGGACGATAAAGACAGACTCAGGTTTTAAAGGATAAAGAACAACTTATGCGTCACCACAGTCTGACTATTTGTCAATTTTAAGAATTCTTAGGTTTTTGACAGATTTTCTTCAGAGTACAGTTGAATTACAAAACATCTTGTAACTTCTATAAAAGTGAATTATCAGGCTTTGTTGCTTATCTTGAAAGTAGAATAAAAATCCTGGTCAGTTGTCATGTTTAGATTACCGTTTGATCAAGCTCTTGTGGTTCACTGAGAGACCTATGTCGCCATAATGATAATATGAAGAAAAACCTGTAATTCCACTTTCAGGTGGAGTTGAAGGAGTTATTAACTTGTTCATGTATAACCGTAGTCATGATTGAAAATTCTACCACTGCTCCGTTGTCTAGAATTCCTCAATGGCAGCCTCTTTGATCGCAGCATTGGATAACATGGGTTAGAATCTCTAAGGGGATATTAGTCCCTCGAGGTTTCAGATACACCCTTCTGATTAGTGCCAAAAAACACAAATTTCAAGCTCATTGCATCCTACCCATTGTCTCCGACCACCCAACACCGATTCGAAGTGCACCAAAATGGTAAGTCACCTAGTTTGATGACGTACGGAATTCAGTTAGCATTAACAATTCGCTACCAGCTGTTAAATTCGCTTGTTTGCTTGGAGGGTTTCATCATGAGCTGACGTGAGCTAGAGAACCATTGGAAAACCAACTGGGAGTACAGAACAGTTGCTTCCTCCGTTCTAGTTTGGGACTCCGCTTCAGCAGTATGCACCCACCGAAAGGGTGCCCATCCACGATCTTCTGGTTAAAAGGCTAGCGAGCTCGTAGACCATTAAGCCACCGGGACCCAATCCAGTGACCAGCCCATGAATTCTAACTTCTGCCGATTCATGACATAGAGCGAACACTTCACAATGTCTTCTTCGATGAGTAACTGTCCTCACCTTCAACCTGCTGTACCCTGCTGATCACAGCTTCTCACTAGAGACCCAGGTTGACTGCCTGAATAGGGCCAGTTGCTAGCGGGCATTGATTAGGGTCTCAATGGCGTAATGGTCTACGAGATCGCAAGTCTTGTAAGCAGAAGGTTGTGGACTGGAACCCTGGCAGTGGATACGTACTACTGAAGAGTCCTAAACCAGGACGAAACACCTTTCCAGTCCTCCCAGCAGGTTTTCCAGTGGTTCTCTAACCGATGTCAACTCATGATGAAGTCCTCCAACCAGTTAAATGAAATCCCTACAAAGCCAATACTTGAATATTTTCTTGTCACATAGGCCGACTGTATATCGATAAAATCAAGGTGACTTTTGACCTTTTATATTTTGTTGTCAGGGTTGTTGATGCTTACCTTCTTACATGAGATTAGTGAAACTGATATGGTCTGTGTATAGTCCGTCTATGAATGATGAAGAGTAATCTATGTCATTAGCTGTTTTAAGTATGGTTACTCATTTTCTTGTTAAATCTGCTCTTCGAAAAACTGAAGATTCCAGCACAGAAGAAGTATATGCACTCAATATTCAGTTAAATATACGTTACCGTCAGCCCGATAAGCATTGAAGCTTAAAGTCTACTAATGTGATTTTCTTCAGTTAGAATATCTATAATACTTATGATTCTAAGGCTACAGACTATTCTTGGAAACCTGCCTTAAAGTGAAAGTAGTGTCCTTAGACTTTGATCTTTTAATGGCAGTCTGTGAGGTATCGCTCCTTGATGCTGTTCATTCAACCGGCTTCTTATACACCAACTTATTCAGCACACTCTTTCTGAGGATAGATCATGTGGAATTCCTAAAACTTGCAGTTTAGCTGAAATGGGGTTTACTTTCGTACACTTATAATATGAATAAATCAAAGGGCATAGAATGTACTGCGTAGGGTTAAAAGACTCTCGCGGTAATGTTTAACAATATAAAATTTGGTAATAACTCACCATTTTTACTCATCAATCCGTGACCCTGGAGGTTTTGATCACAAAGGTTGTTTATATACTCGAGGAAAGCTATCCATCCTCCTGAACGATTCCAATTACTTGTTAAAGAATGAAATTCTGGATGAATTACATCACTGATATCTTGTAGTCCACAGTGTCTGGACCTGTCTATCCAGTGAAGACAGTTCTTGAAGAGAGGAAAAGAATAGACAAAAAACTACCTTTGTAGATTAGATTTAAAAGCTGTTGGTTCTGAATGAGTGAATACCATGAGTTTAAATGTTTGAAATCGCTGAACACTTAAGTCAAGTGGGATACTTGAAAAATACCAAGTACACCAAGTGAATATGTCCAAACCAAGTTCACTTTTAACAGTAAACTGGATTCTGGGAGATACACAGTTTATTTTCTCCAGGAATGAACTGTGTAGATCTCGTTTACTTCGGAAGCAGAACCAGACGTCGGTGAACTACCATTTCTAGACTGCCCAGTTAAGAGGAGGGAAAACGAACATTTTAGTATATCCATATTCACGAAGAAAACCCACTCCAATAAATATTTAGACTTCAAATCATAACATCCCATCAGCACAAAGATTTCAGTTGTTTCAAGTCTTCTTTGACGAGCAAACACTCTGATAACGGATGAGAAAGAAAAAGAAGAAGGAATATCAAACATTACTGAAACTCTCAAGCAAAACAACTACCCAACGAACTTCATCAACAAAATCAACACTGACATTAAATATAGTTGAAAAACTATTCAGAAGATATGGGCCTCAACAGTTGTCATTCCATATAGAGCAGAGATGTCAGACAATATCAGAAGAGTACTCAATCAGCTCGACATTAGAGTTCTCTTCAAAACATCAAACACACAACAAAGCAACCTTGTCCATATAAAAGACCAATCTCTAAAGATTCTCTATTTAATTGTGTCTATAAAATAAAATGCTTGGAATATGATCCGATATACATCGGACAAACATCTCCAGAAATCAAAATCACAAGAAATGAACACCGTAGAGCATCTGTTCGACTACCGAGAAATCCCGTTGAATTGCAAAAACTTGAAAAATCATCAGCCATAGGTCTACACGCTATAGAATCAGGCCACAAAATTGATTTTGACAATATTGAAATAATCCAGAAAAACTTCAGAAATCACAAAGAACGTCTAATATCGGAAGCACTTCATATCAAGTGGAATCCAAATGGTCTGAATAGGAATGACGGACTAAAACAGAATTTAACATGGCTACAACACCTCCCTCCCCCATGAAGTGACAAAATCAACACGAATGTGATATGCAAGTTCACTATGTAAACACACGCTGCTTTTATAATTTTACACACTGATCAAATGCAACAATCTACACTTGGTTTTGTTATCTTTACCAAATGACCAACTTGACAACGCAAAAATGACCCCATGATGAGGAACGATGATCAAGTTAGTAAACTTGGTTTAGATACTATACATACCATTGTTATTTGGTTTAGTGATTTTCATTGTTATTTTGACTTTCAATATGCCCCTTTAACTTAACCTAAGTCTATTTTCTCACCCCTTAACTCTTTGTTATATATATGCTGAGATTTTGTAAATTCCGGTTTAATAATGCTTTGGTAAAGCTATTAGCATTAAATAGCGAAACGTCAGTAAGAGCAACAATATCGTTTTGTTTTTCATTCATTGGGAAATACAAAAACCTTTATTATCATTTACACCAAGTGAAAATAGTGTATTAATTATAACCATTTCTCATGATGTCCAATTGCTGACTTGAAGACTTTCAGATTACACCAGCCCAAAGAACACAATTGATTTAATATCAATCACTATCATTGGGAGAAATTTCAAGGGGGTTACCACATTCACTTATTTGAGCAGCATTGTCTCAACAACAGGCAGCACGAATGAAGATGTGAGAGATTGGATCGGAAAGGCAAGATAGACCTTCATTACTTAGAAACCATTGTGAGGATGTACTACACTCACCATAAAAACACGATCCGGTTTCCCGACACTAATGTCCAGTTAGTCAGTGTTTCCATACTGTTCATAGACTTGTTGCGCGTGTCAGCAAAAGTATTTCCCACAGGTTACTGAAGACTTTTATCAACAACTGGCTTGTCTGGCTCAATACAGAAAATCAAATAAACGCCTAGAAAGAATTATCAACAAGAGACTCGGTGGAACGAACCAGTCAGGAACCTATTGCTAAGGAGATATGCCGAATGAAATGTGGATGGATCGAACACAAGGTTAAGAGACTGTCGGATGACGTCGCGCGCCAAGTCAATCCTCTAGTGGAACCTGAATAAGAAACGATGAGTTTGGATTTGGTCCACTAGTGGTATGGAGGAAATTGTGTGAGAAGAAAATGAGACACCTGTACAATCCTGGAACCAGATGAAGAGGACTGAATAGAACAAGATGAAATGGAGGTGTGATTTTGAAACCCTGTGTTCCACTCGGAACCTGAGGTAACAATAAGTATTGATGTAACGGCAGAAGACAAGAGACTTGGTAACGGAATGTTTATTTGGTATTTGGTATCGCTCTATGGGGAAATTATGTACACTGTATCTGAAACCGTCATTTTCACAGGTCTTCCGTGTTGTGCTACTTCTACTCTTCGATATAATAATACATCTTGTGCACCATGGTAGAGTATAATTCCTTTGTGAGTAAAATTTATTTTGATAAAGTCTCACAGTGCTGGACAGTAATACTTACTGATGACGTTTCAAGCACAATTTATCATGTTACTCACACAACTTTCCAAATTCGTTTATATAATTTCATTATTTTTCATCGCTTGATTTGATTGGCAGTATTATTTTCCATATTTCTGGTATGAGTGGTGACTCATTCCTATTGCACGTGTTGGGTGCAGACTCGATGGGCAACGATTCAGTAATCAACCTGTCTCACCACTTACCTTTATTACTCTTTAGAATTTTGACTCTTTCCCCCCCTTATTGTGTGGTTGTTTGTTAATGCATGTTGTGCAATGTAGTGCTGATCCTTTTTCTAAATTACTCATCTTCGTAGGATCAACCATTCTAAACTTAGCTAAATTCTTATGTTCTGATAATCTGAATACCCCCGATATACTGGTTTGATCTATGTAATTGACCTCACTCACAGTCACTGCAAGATATTTCGTCAATTATGTTATTTTGTCTAGTTGGGTCAACTAGGTCCTTTAACCTACAGAGCTTGTCTTCGAGTGATTTCGTAGGTTTGAATGCCACTCTAATTCCTGCTTTATTAAGAATCCTACGTAGGAAGGGTCTCAGATGTCCCCTCCTTATATGATATAACAGCAGATGCCTTATGGTTATGAGCAATAAATTGTGCTCGAAAAGTCACCAGTATAACACTGTGAGACTTTACCAAAATAAATTTTAACCACACCGGAAGGTCTACCCTTCATCTTGTTTTTTTGTCTTCTCTCCATGTCCCCCATGTTTCGATACAATACTGATTGATTTGCTATCATTGATGTCAAATATGTGTCTCCGCTTTTTGGTATTTTTATGACGATGAACGTCTCTTTATATACTACTGATAGACCTTATCAGTAGCACACGCCACACTGCATTACAGCTACTGTAAGGAACTGATATTCATTCGGAAAATGTTAACCTATTATACTGTTCCTGAAGATGAATTTCTGACTTTGTATACACTACTTATCTGTGCATTCATATCAGTAGTATAAATGAGGTGACTACTTTTTTTCTGGTAATTAGGTAGACACAACTGAAAAACAGATCTCATTTCTCTCTCTCTCCGCCTCTGTCACTCTGTCCTACTTTGCAATGTTTCCCACACCCCTTATGTAACTGACACTGTCATCACAGAGGTCAGGAAAATTAGGAATGGCATTGGATAAAGCGCTGTCTATCTTTCAACTGATACCTTCTTGTTTCAAGCATCTATGTAAAATTAATCTATCAGCTAATTACTACACCCAGAAGGCTAAGAGTTTAGCCGCCACAGGATGTTTTCATATTAAACATTTTGTATTATGTATAAATTCATTCAATCAAAACTGACATTACAAAAACAAAACAAAAAACATCAGCATCTAAGCTAACAGAAAACTTTAAAACTATTTCAAAAATTCAAATTCAAAAGCACAAAAAGAGAACAAGGAAAACAAAAACAACAACACCACTAAGTTTTGTAATAACCTCCCGTTTTTTAGACAAAATAGTTTTCACTGTCAAAGTTTTCTATTTTTCAAAATTACACAAAAATACTAAAAAAGAAATACATTTCTCAGTAATAGAGAGATTATAGTTATGCTATAATACTATGAAGGAATAAAGCAGTTCATCTAACTAATACATATATATATAAGTGTGGGGTTTTGAGTAGCTGTATTTGTGAATATTTGTCTCTCTGTGAGTGTTTATGTGCCTGTGTATGTATGCATGAGTGTGCTTACCAAGTCTTAAGGTTGCCTAACAACCATAAGTGATAGACTAACTAACTGACTGACTAACTGAGCAAGTGAGTGAGTGAGTGAGTACAAATGTGCTCACATAGAATAAAAGAAAGAGAATTACATATTATTGATTGACAGTGAGGTGCGCTCAAAATCCATCATCTATTCACTATTGATTTTCATCTGAATCGATTAGTTTATCAACGTAATCATCAGTGTCATTATGAGATACTTTGAGAGCAAAATACGCTCATCAAATGTAAGTTACTTCATAATAATAACTTATTAAACAGTACTTCACTTTAAAAAAATCGATCAAGTAAGCAAAAAATTTGATAAGTAGGAATTTTATTCTACATTCAAATGATTAATTGACTTTAGTATGCTCTTAAGCATTTATTCTGACAGAAAGATAGTTTACTTTATTAAAATCAATAAAAGCCAAACAGGTCGATAATACTAACAGTTGAAAATAAAACGATACTGAGTAGTCGTTTTGGCATGGCAGCTGTTAACATGGAGACAAGAAAGCGAATATCTTCTGGTTTATAAACTACAACAAGGTAGCCGTTCACTTTATCATTCATTACCAGTGGGACGCAGGGCTTCTAGGTAGAACTTTGAAGTTTCGGTTAAGAGTGTGGTGGTGGGATTGCTAGCCTCACGCTCAACCTTCCCTCTTTATCGGACTTACTACCGGTTTAGACAGGTTTAGGAGTGTGTCCGCCAAGGATTGAACCCGGAACCACATGTCCCGTGGTTGGCGAGCGTCCTACCAATGAACTCAGTAATCGCTAGTAGAAATCATGTGTGACCATTGGTGTTCACTGAACTGGATCCTTGGATTGCAAATCTTTCATATTATTCCCCGAGAACCTCTTGAGCTCTAACATCAGTAGGAGATTAGACTGTTGCTCGGACGCGCAAGAGTCACGGTTCCGCTCATGATTTAGTGGGAGCAGACCAGCCGTGGGAGTAAGCGCCCGCGGTCCAGGGACCCAGTCTGTCAGACCAGACTGAACATCTTTGTACGACTGCCCCAAGAGGGGTGTATGACCATCGTCTCTATTCAGGGAGCATTTCGGACATCTGGTGGTTCGGGATGTGGAATGGATTCATGGGTCGAGATGAGTTGAAGGGGGCCTTAATAGTGAAAATTAAATCCCTCAGTCATTGTTGTCTTGGTCAGCAGAGGGGAACCAGCGGTGAGAGGATCGTCGGTATTTCTAGGTGCCCTTGCCGGCCTTACGTCCATGTAAGGAAATGTCCCAATCCGAGGACTGTGGTTGTATGCTTCCTGCAAGGTGGAAGTGCAATTATGTGACCAAGCCGTGTGAGTGGCCATGAACCGCTGAGGTGGGGCAGTATGTATCATCTGAGAAGCAGCCACGGTTGGTGTTGAGACCTGGACAGTGGGGGTGAGAAAACACCTACCGCTACGGGAGCGTTAATGGGGTGCCTGGCATGGGGTGCTCACTTTCATGCTGCGAAGTCACCGAGGTGTTGTCTGCTCAGCAGGGATACTGACTCTAGAGGGGAACAATGGGTTAACAGGGAATTATAGTATCACCCTCTGGAGGCCTTGTTGAAAATTAACGTAAAACGCCTAACTATGTTATTCCATATTAGATAGGTTTATTTTAAAAATTACACAATGATGTAGTATTAACAAATGGATGACAAGGTTTCGAGCATAAATTATTGCCACTCATAATCACATCTATTTAGTCTCTCCTTCTTTGTCTCCAACTTCCCCTTGTCGTTGTTTGTTGACACTTTGCATATCTCCACAGTATAGGCGTTTCGCCATTCTAACTGTACGTGTGCGGTGTTTTAATGGATAAACAAAGCTCCAGTGATTAACCGCTTTCTTCAACTTGTTTTGGGATTACCTGCAAGTAGATGGCTGAGCTTGTTTCTAGGTTCTAGCAGAGTCAATCATTCTTGGTCTAGACAAATTTTTATGTTACAATAATCTAATTGACCCCGATCTACTAGTTTGACCTATGCAATTCACCTCACTAACAGTCTTTACATGATATTTAGTAAATTGTGTATGTATGTTGACTCCACCTGTACACTTTATAATCGTCGTTAACACTTTCATCTGTGCAGCATTGATATTCATAACTGTTCCTATGACCAGAATACTTTTTTCATATTAATTTGTTTATTAGATTTATCATACAGGGGAAAAACACTATTGTTACTTGCTAAATGACAAAGTTTCGAACATAATTTACTGTTCATAATCATACCACATCAATTATAATAACACGACTTCGAAACTTGAGTTTGATAGTTTTGGTTGGAGGATTTCATCATGAGCTCATATCAGCTAGAGAAACATTGGAAAACCAGCTGGGAGTACTGAAAACCTGTTTCCTCAGCCTAGTTTGGGACTCCGCTTCAGCAGTACGCACCTACCGACAGGGTTCGAACGCACGTCCTTATGGTTACAAGGCTAGCGATTTCGTAGACCATCAAGCCACTGGGACCTGATCCGATGACCCACGAATTCCAACCTCTACCAATTTTCTTTGTGCTTTCCCATTTGTCGTCGTAGGGGTCCAAACGCCCGTTAAATCACATTTGTTTGCAGTTGATTCCATAAATAAAGCCTCCGTTGTAATCAATCTCTCCCTCCACTCTGTTACATTAGATTTGGAAACAGTCATTTTATCCCATCCTATTGTATAGTGTTTACAGGAAACCGGCACATTCAAACAGATATTTGGATTTCCGATCATTCGATCCTGTGTCCGTAAAATTAGGAATGTTGGTGAAATGTTGAAGTAATAGGGCATAAAAACTAAGTGGCACCAAAGAAAATCTAAGGCAGGAAGTGAAGCACATGAGAGAAGCTTCGAAACTTAATAATAACCCTAATAAATTAATCAGGAAGTATGTAGGAAAATGTGAAAATAAAATCAATAATAATGGTAGTGGTAGTGATAATAGTAATCATAATAATGACGACACCAACAACAAGAAATCCAAATCATCCGTAGTAATTCCATACAAAGAAGGAACCTCGGAAACCTTACGCAGAATTCTTATCAAGGTAGGAATAAAAGTGGCTGGCATTCAAACCCAGAAACCTAATTAGAAACAAGGTTTTTCATTTAAACGATTCTGTGGAGCTAATTGAACAAAACAATTCAGTCCATCTAACACCCCTGCTGGAATGATTTTCAGGTCAAATACATAGGTCAAACCAGTAGAACAGGGGCAGTCAGACTAGTAGACCACAAAAACCTAGCAGCAAAATCTAGATTAGTTGACCCGAATAAGATAAGAAATCTAGAGAATAGTTCAGCTATCGCAAGCACTACATGCAATTACACACAACCATACAATAGGCTGGATGGGATAAAATGACAGTTTTAAAATCTAATGTCACAGGTTGGAGGGAGAGATGGATAACAGAAGCTTTGTTTATCGAATCAACTGCAAATACGTGTAATGGGAATGATTTAACACCTGTCCAAACGGATACCTGGAAAATTCTACTACGCCTACGACAAATAGGAGAGAACAAAGAAGACTGTAAAACTCAAGTCTCGGAGTCGTAGGATTATAACTGATATGATTATGAACAGCAATAAATTGTGTTCGAAACTTTGTCATTCAGTAAATAATACTGTTTCTCCACTGTGTGATATATCTAGTGAACAAACTAATACGGAATTGCTTACTACCACAGTGCCCATGTTTTACACAATTATCAATGCTACACTTGATATCTATCAGCCCTTAAACTTATATTTAGTGTTCCCCACTTTTTTTGGTATTTGTTTATATGTATTTTGGGGGTAATCATTTGCTTCGCACACCAAGCAAATGTAACAGAACGGATGTTAACTTGCAAAGAAGATTATGAATACAGTTTATTCAAAAACATTGAATACCAACTAACCTGTTCTAAAATACAAACTTTAAGCAACTGTTTATCACCATGATATTGTGATAAAAAACGTGCAACGTTAAATCTAACAGAATATACATGATTGTAAGAAGTGTAGTTCATGTGCTCAACTGCAGCACACACTCCAGTGATATTTAACCATTTGTAATCTTCTGGAACTATAGTATACCGTAATTTATTCACCCCAAGTCCTATGCTATAATTCACCCATCTGAAAGGTAATCAAAGGAAAATTACTGAAGACAGTAAATCAGTAGATAGATTGTTATTCTTCTGAATAACATTTCAAAGTCCACCTAAATGTTACCTTCAATAAATAAGTAAAATATGACTTTGGAAATGCAAAATGAAGACAGTAATGGGCTGTCGTTAAACCGGATATACAAAAAGTCTGCAAATTCTATAATTTTTTATAGGGGTATTTAGGTCACTAAGTGAAGAGTAGTTCTGCAAGCAATTCTGTCACACTATGATCGTTTATGGTCTTGTGTTTTCCTTATAGACCGTTCTAATTCCCTGAAGACTTCCATCAACAGCTAACTTCTCTCCATACTGAAGACCAGATGGCCAGCAGGAAAGGATTATAAGCATGCAACTCTGGGAAGGAAACAACCAAGAACATATCGTGCAAGTAATATACACAAAGAAACGAAGATTGATTGGACATACGCCGAGGAGACTGTTGGGTGAAGTAGTGCCCCAGACCCATGAGTGGAACTAGAATAGGAAATACCAATTGGGCTTAAGTCCGAAGGTGATATCGAGGAGGTCCTGTGAGAAAGAAATCGAAGCTTATCGGCAGCTGTGCAGCCGGCTAAAAATGAACAGTTCCATTATGGTTAAAAATTTACTTTGATAAAGTCTCACAGTGTTATACAATAATATTTACCGATGTCCACGTTTCGAGCACAATTTATTACTGCTCATAATCCTAGCACTACTCACACAACTTTCTACTTCATTTATAAAGATGAGTAAAAACTGATGATTAGACATTAGAATAAAATCAATATAAGATTAAGTACATTCAGAAATAATATTATGAGTGTTATCAATCAATTACAATCAGATGGGAAATAAAACGAGTGTTTTTATAGTCAAAATAAGTAATTTGTTAGAATGTTACGATGTACGTGAATTGAAATAGAATTTTAACATTGTTCATTAGCCTCCTCTGATTTGACTGACTAGTGGTAATAATATTTTCCATATCTCTGGTATTTGCATTGAGTTATTTATGTTGCATGTGTTGAGTGTAGACTCGATGAAATAGGCAGGATTCAGTAATCAATCTCTCTCTTCACCGACGTAGATTACTTCTTAGAATTTTTACCCTATCCCACCCTATTGTGTGGTTGTGTGTTAGTGCGCGAAGTGCTGAATATTTTTCTAAATTACCTATCTTCACGGGTGGGATTAATCATTCTAACCATAGCTAAATTCTTATGTTCTGACAGGTAATCTGACCAATCCAGATCCACTAGTTTGACATATATAGGTGACCTAACTCACATTCATTGCAAGGTATTTTGTAAATTATATTGTTTGGTTTAATTGGTTCCACCGGGTCTTTTAGCCTACACAGCTTGTAATACCTGAGTGAGTTTGTATGTTTGAATACCACCCTAATTCTTGCTTTATTAATAATCCTACGTAGAGACGGTCTCAGATGTCCCTTCCTTATGCTGTGTAACTATAGATGCCTTATATTCTTTCTTATTTATCTTATCACTATTAGTTTCACCATTATTTTTATTTCGCTTTTGACCTGTTCTGATCTTCCTAATGAATTTTATGAGATAGTAATTTGACACCAACGCTTCTTCTTCTATCTGTTTCATTCCACCAATTCAGGTGTTTTGTTGTACAAATTAGTGCTACTGCTCAGTTTGTTAGACACTTAACTAAGCCCGCCTCCACAGATAATGGATAAGATGAGTCTAAACAAGTCTAAATATCTATTAGTAAAATGCGTCGTTTTATTTTACAGTCTAACATAGCTGATTCTCCTTCTTCATTTTCCGATTGAAATGTGAATTTTATTCCTCCACTAGTGCGTTTGTGTGTCTCAAGAAGCTAGAGATATGTTCTGTTTTCAACAATGTGAGTAAAAGTGTCATCCGCATATCTCCACCATATTTTTGGAGTAGGATTGAATGTATTAAGAGCAATATTTTCCAAGATGTCCATAAAGATATCTGCTACTATAGGGGATATTGGTGGTCCCATTGCTACACCTTCTGTTTGTCTATATATTTTGCCCTGTAATTTAAAGATAGTGAGGCATAATTGAATTCCTAAAAAATTTCCTCAAAGAGTAGCTTCGTCCTATGAGTAAGTTCAGGATCTGCAGTTAGTTCTCTTTTAACCGCTTCTAAGGCCATACTGATTGGTATATTAGTATAAAGACTAGTTATATCAAAACTAACCATTTTTTCACCATTCTTTAGTTGAATATCATTTAGATTATTTGTGATCTCATATGAATTAGTTAGTCTAGAGTTTGAACGATTTCTAATGGGGCATAATATCAGAGTTAAGTGTTTTGATAATTCATAAGTAGATTTCACCTGGTCATATGGGGAACCTAACTTATGTGTTTAAATAGTACCATATATAAGACTAGCATTATTAGTTTTAGGTACTGAATTAAATTAAATCATCCAAACTTTAAAAATACCCCTACTTATGACTTATCAAAATACTTAGCTCCAATATTATGCCCCATTGGAGATCGTTCAAACTCTAACTAACTAATTCATTCGAGGTGAAACATAAACTAAATAACATTCAACCACAGAATGATGAAACAATGGTTAGTTTTGATATAACTAGTCTTCATACTAATATACCAGTCAATATGGCAGCCTTAGAAGCAGTTGAAAAAGAACTAACTGCAGATCCTGGACTCACTCATAGGACAAAGCTGCCCATTGAAAAAAATTACTTTAGGAATTCAGTTATGCCTCACATCTACTATCTTTAAATTCCAAGGCAAAATATATAGACAAACAGAAGGTGTAGCAGATATATTTATGAACTATTGGGAAAATATGGCTCTTAAAACATTTAATCCTACTGCAAAGATAATATGGTGGAGATATGTGGATGCCACCTTTCCTTACAGTGTTAAAAACAGAACATATCTGTAGCTTCTTGACACACATAAACTCACTAGATGAGGGAATAAAATTCACATTTGAAGCCGAAAATGAGCAAGGAGAATTAGATATGTTAGATTGTAAAATAAAACGAATAGAAGAAGGCAAACTACACACTAGTGTTTATAGAAAACCAACGCATTCTAATAGATATTTAGACTTTAATTCGTCTCATCCTTTAGCTGGTAAGGCAGGCTTAGTTAAGTGTTTAACAAACCGAGCAGTTGCACTAAGTACCACAAGGAAAGATTTAAATGATGAAATAAAACAGATAGAATAAGCGTTGGTATCAAATAACGATCCTATAAAATTCATCAGGAAGATCAGAAAAGACCAAAAGCAAAATAAAAATAATTGTGGAACTAGTAATGATAATATAAATGAGAGACAATGTAAGTCAACCGCTGTTATACCATATAAGAAGGGGACATCTGAGGCCCTAAGTAGGACTCTTAATAAAACAGGAATTGGAATGGCATCGAAACCTACAAACTGACTCAGGTAGGACAAGCTGTGTAGGTTAAAGGACCCTGTAGGTTGACCCAATTAGACAAAATAATATAATTTACATAATACCCTGCAATGACTGTGAGGGAGGTCAACTACATAGGTCAAACTAGTAGGTTGGAGGTAGTCAGATTGTCGGAACATAAGAACTTAGCTGAGGTAAGAATGGCTGACCCCGAGAAGATAAGTAATTTAGAAAAAACTCAGCACTACACTCCACTGCATGCATTAACACACAACCACACAATAGGGTGGGAGAGGGTAAAAATTCTAAAAAGTAATCTAGGTAGGTGGAGAGCGAGAGAGATTGATTACTGAATCTTTGTTCATCGAGTCTACATCCAACACGTGCAATAAGAAGGACTCATCACTCATACCAGAAAGGTGGAAATCACTACTACCAATCAAGTCAAGCGAGGAAAAATAATGGAATTATGCAAACGAAGTTAAAAAGTTGTGTGAGTAGTGTCTTGATATGATTATGAGCAGTGATAAATTGTGCTCGAGAAGTCATCAATAAATACTACTGTATAACACTGTGTGTGTGTGAGTTGTGCTCTACCACAGTGCACAAGTTCTATTCTTAAATCAATAAAAATAGACAGACTGAAATACATATGTGCTGCTGAAGTCTAACGTTCCATATTGGACCCAAAGGAATATTAATAAATGTGATAACAAATCATATAATCCATAGGCCATTTCGATAAAATGTCTGACTTGAAAAATGGCGACTCAGTTAATTAGTGAACTGGTGGTAAAATCCAATATGGCTATTAAATTTTTTTCGTCTGAATTCAATGTTCCAGGGAAGCTTTCTAGTTAAATTGCACGTTATTGCAAAAAGGCTTTCAGCAGATGATTGTAGATTAAATATCGCATACTGGGGAAAGCAGGAACATCCAACTGACGAGTCCCAAATGGGACGAAATGCACATTCTGGATTCCAATGATAGTTACCATATACCAAATTACTTCATTGTTAATGTAATTTATACTACTAACCAAATTGAGTAGTCAAAAGAATTTTACGATAAAAGGAGTGTTAACTTGACCATCTCGAAATAGAACCAAGCGTTGAGTCGGTAGTAAGTTATTCTGCATCTACTTGTGTTTTAATCATATGACCTTAGAATTGAAGCCTGAAGACTTTGAAAGCCATTCAGATCAGTACGAAACTGATAGTAGCACTGAACTTCCAGTCAGTAGAATAGAGACTGACCAAGTAGTAGTCTTAGTCACATTTCAAACAATTACCTTCATTTGAAGACGCACTAGTTCCAGAAAAAGAAGTCACTTTGGAGTAAAGTCCCTGCCAGTGTTAGATAACTGGACTTGTGTCACAAGTTAGATAAAAATATACAGTAAAGTATTCAGCCATTCAAAGTTGGTTACGTATTTGGTATTCTTAACAAACTATATGTACAAATCCTAAAAGAGTGTTGATAGTAATTACGAATTGATCACGGATTGTTATCAGTTAGAGAACCATTAAAAACTAGCCACAAGGAGTACTGGACAGCTGTTTCATCAGCCTAGTTCT